CAGCTCACGCTGATCTCAAACTCCCAGAAATCCTCCTGCTTCGGCCTCTTGAGCACTGGGATCACAGGTGTGTGCCTCCACACCAGGCTTGGCCAATACTTATAAAACAACAAGTGATCCACTTGTGGTCTGTAGCTTTAGTTGATAACTGACCCCAGCTAGATTACTTTTGGTTAAGATCTGATATAACCAGTAGGCTTTTTGTTTTCTTGGAAAATGGATTTTCCTCCAGCTGGTAAATAACCAGGTTTTGTTTTGTTTTGTTTTGTCTTGTTTTTTTAATAAAAGGAAGCAGTTAAACAGATAACTAGAATTATTCACATCACTAGAGCACAGTGATGTGTATAAAAGAGTTCTTTACCACTTAGTGTTTCTTTACATCTTTTAATGTCTGAGGTGGGAAGAAGATACCAAAGTTCACGTGAGGAACAAGGAAGCTGTCTTAGGGGTTCAGAAGGGGCAGCACGTGGGGGCTGAGGTTCACCTAAAGGAGACTTGTCTGTAGGTCTATAGGAGAATTACCAGACCAGCTGGAACCTTGTTACAGCATCAGAGCAAAAGAGAAAGGAGGCCAAGACTGCTGCCTCCTGTAGAGCTCATGCCCTGGGGCTTGGCGGTGCCCTAACGTGAGTCCATACGTGGTGCAGGACGTGTTCATTAGTACTCATAGCTACCGTTTTTCAATTCTTAATGAGCTGGGTTTCTACACTTACTCTAACCTTAAAACAACTTTGCCAAGTTAATGTGCATTTTTATAAGCAAGGGAACAGACATGCTGTATAACTCATCTACAGCTAATATGAAAGAAAGCTGGGGTTCGTGCTTGAGATTGCGTGGCTTCAGAGCCCTTTGTTGATCACTGTCTGGGTCTTCCCCTGTCCCACTCCTGGGCACTGTCAGTTTCTGTAGTGGTATTTCATTATGTGGGATTTAAAGTAATTGGAATCAGCCTGCCGAATTTTTAGTCAGAATGTTCTGTATTTGTTTTCCTGGTACAGTGTCTCAGTTACTCTTCTCTCATTGCTGGGACAAATACCCGACACTCGAAATGAGGGAAGGAAAGGTTTACTTAGCTTACAGTTACTGGAGGTTTCAGTCCATACTCAGCTGGCTCCAAGGCGGAGTGGCACATGGCAGAGGGCAGCAGTTCATGGTGGTGGCAAAGAGCAGAGAGCAAAATGGAGGAGTAGCAGCAGCAATGGCTACGGAGAGGAAGTCTGTCTCTTAAATTGCATTCAGGCTGTCTACCTGAGGCTGGGAGAAGTGCTCACACTCATAATCCCAGTGGATCATGAGTTAATCATAAACTCTAGAAGTCCCTGCCCCATGAGTGCATGAGGCTTTGGGGGGCCAAATAGTCACAAACCATAATGTACAATAATAGCAGTTCCCTGTGTATACCTTGAGGGCTTGCACAAATCCGTATCACAGTTGCTGCGCAGTGACTGTCTTCAGGACAGAATTGCTGGAAGTTAGTCTAAACTTGGAAAGTTAAGTGCAGGCCAAGGGTAGGGGTGAGGAAGGGTAGCTGGTTGACACTGTAACTTTGAAAAGCAGCATCTGAACATTTCCACGTTTGTAGTGCTCCTTAGGAGGCATGGTCTTTGGTCCCTCTAAGTCAGAAAAGCAAGCGAGAAGGTGTTTTTTTCTGTGAACCGTGACTTCATTTTCATGTGGAGCCAAGAGTCTCAGTTCTCTCGTGCTCTAAAATCCAGCGCTGAAGAAGATGGGCCGGTAGCTTTCTCATTTCCAGCCCTGTACGAGCTGCCGGAGAGAATGGCTGACAGCTCGTACGGCCCTCACCTCAGGAACTTCTTCCTGACTGCTGAGAGGTGGTCTTGATTACAGGTTACATGTGGATGTGAATACAAAAGTAATGACTAAGATAGGCTAAACCCCGGCGCTTTCCAAGCAGGGGCATTATAGGAGTCTAATTTATGTGATGCTTGACTGCCGGGGGAAGGAATACCCATCTTAAGCAGTTGCAACATAAAGTACTGGAAAATCGCTTAACAGATTTCATATTTTATTAAAAACATTTCTATTTTGGAGAAATGCCACTCTTTTTCCTAGCAAATCTTGTAGCAACAGGGAGAAAGCCTTACCACATCCCATTTGTCTTGGAGATGTGATCTGTGTATTCATTTAGTAGAAATTTCTGAATATCTACCAGTACTTGTGAGGTAACCATAGGTTTTCATTTTGTGGTGAGCTGTTAGTAATTATTAAGGCTTTATATATAAACATTTTATAAGAATTGGCTATCATTCTGAGTGACCGAGCCACTGGGACTACCTCATCTGTTGGTGTAATTTATTAACTAGCTTTATCTGTGCAGAGTGGTAGGCCTCCCTGTTTACTCTTCGGCAGCTAGCATGTGAGAGTACTATCTCTAAGGTGCCAGATGTTTTACTTCCTTTGTTCTTTGCCTGCCTTTGCATTGTACAGCAGAGAAGTGAATTTGCAACATCTCAGATTTGGAGTAAAATTACCAGCCAGAAGAAATAAAGTTTAGGGGGCTGGGGAGATGGCTCAGTGGAATAAGCGCTTCCCAAGCAAGTGCAAGGGTCTGAGTTCAATCCCCGCTTCTGCCAAAAAAAAAAAAAAAAGAAAGAAAAGAAAGTTTAAATGATAGAACATGAATAAGAGGCCCTACTTTTGTTTTTTTTGTTTTTTTTTTTTTTTTTGAGACAGGGCCTTGCTCTGTAGCCAGGCTGGCCTCAAACGCATGGTTCAGGCTGGCCTTGAGCTCATGATCCTCCTGCCTCAGCCTCCTGAGTGCTGGTATTATAGATGTGTGCCACCATCCCCAGAGCCACAGTTTTGTTTATTTAGTAAAGGGTCTGTGGGGTACAGGGTCTACAAGGTCTCACTATGCAGATAGGACTCATAGTGATTCTGCTGTTTTCAGCCTCCCAAGTGCTGGGATTATAGGCACCTCTCAATCACTGTCTCAGTATGCCTCTGGGATTGCGTGGCTTCAGAGGGGTGGGGCTGCTGGCAGGGCACACTGGGATCAAACCCCAGCTGCTGTGCTCTGCATAAGCAGGTGCTTTACTCTGCTGAGCTACTTGGCCAGCCATTCAGTTTTACCTCTAAGGTGATTTAACTATAAAGCATTTTGAAAGGATTTCTTTTTTTTTTTTTTTTCCTTTATTTTTATTTTGAAAGGGTTTCTTATAAACTGGGTAAAATTGCCCTTTAATGTGATGGAAGATAGCAGCATATAAGGGAAATGAACATTAGTTGTGAGCGGGATTTTTGCCTAGGATCAAACTGTGGTCTCTGCGCTTGCCTAAGCAGGCACTTTAGACTGCTGAGCTATCTTGCCGGCCTGGAATTTTGTTTAGATCATGAAAGAAAGAAAATGGTTTTCAGGTAGGAGGATATCCGGCTTCTGCAACAGTTCAGTTCTGTGTTACAGTTTGGTAGAGCAGTTCCCTAGCGTTAGAAGCATCCTAACTAAAATTAATTGATTAATCAATCAGGCCAAACATCTGGTGATGTAGGAGAATATAAAATATTTATTTTCCTCTTGCTACCCTAAGTAGTTGTGTTTGTGACAAAAGCTAAGAACACCTGTCATTCCTCATTAGCTTTATCCAGTTTGAGACTGGAGCTGAGAGATGGCTCAGTAGAATAAGTACTTCCCTGGCAAGCTCAAGGTTCTGAGTTCAATCCCGAGTCCCACCAAAAAAAACAAACAGTCTGAGACTGGGAGGAACTGGATCTCATGTGTGTCAGCTCTGGGTGTCCTACATTCTCTCTGATTTGCACCTATAATGCCAACTACTCAGGAGGCTGAGGAAGGAGGATCATTTAAACCCTGGAGTTACAGGCCGGTCTGCAATCCCCACATACTGGGCAGCTGAGGCAGGAAGATTGCAAATCCTGGGGCTCTTATCTTCGTATAAAAGCCCTGAATTCAATTCGCAGTACTGCAGAACCAACAAGTAGAAAATCAAAAGCCAGATGGATGTTGAGATTGATTGTGCCTGGGTCCCTG